ATATGAAACCTGTGTGGCACATAAAATGCAAACATGCACGAGTGTTTCTTATAAATCTGAGTTTTTATTGGTAAAGTCAGTGTTTTTACTGTGTGTTTTTATTGAATATGCAAATAAGTCAAGCCTGCTGGTAATATGTAAGGTTCATTATCCAGGAGGGTGTGTGCTTGAGGAGAATTGAAGTCCTTCAGAATTTATCTGCAAATAAACCAATTTATTACGCAATTATGCTTCAAAGTGCAATGTATTTCAGTGCATTTTCTTCTAAATTAATTGTAACAACATTGCTATAGCCGAACAATGCTGATTATTTTTTTTTTTCTTTCCATGGCTTCATCTAGTGACTGCTCTTGGTCTTAATTCTTACTTTGTGGCGTTATTGTACCATTAATTCTTGAAAGAACCAGGTAATCTGCTTAGTGCTGTCTCAGGCTTTCTGTAGAGACTACAGACACCGTTAATCCGGCGATGCAGGCCGCTTGGGCAGCGCTTCCACACGCCTCATCCAATTATGTCATTCTTACTGTTGGGTGCACTTTTGACAGAGTGGGTGTGCAGCTAAGCAGATGCTTTAATGTGTTTCCTTATTCTGTTTCAGGTCGTTAACTTCTCATCCACAACTATTGCAGCCTTTATAGCAGTAGTGGGCATTCTTTCCATCTTGGCTCAGGTATTGTACTCCGTGATGATGTCCTTACACTATGTGTGTGACCACAGTTTTCTTCACTGACTTGGTAATATGGTAACCACTTTGTGAATCTGGTGAGTGTTGGCAAGATGTAGAAGTAAGCCCTTTTATCCCCCCCCCCCCACCCCGGCAGACGGCGTTCCTGAGCATTTTAATGAAATCGATCGGAAATAAAAACACAGTGATGCTCGGCCTTGGGTTTCAGATGCTCCAGCTAACTTGGTATGGTTTTGGATCAGAACCGTGGTAAGTCATCTTTCCTCCGTTGTCTCTTTCCCCGTCTCTGTGTAATTCTAAAAGTCTACCCAATGTGAGTCTCTCTCCTGCCCTTCACGGCGTCTGCTGAAATTATGTACGACTCATCAGTAGTTTTTCAAGAATCATACAAGGGCAAAAATGCATTTTGTTTTTTCAGGTAGGATAAACATTGGTACTTAATCATTAAAAGCATTTTCTGCTGTGATGCAACAGCTATGTGTCATTCTTGCTTTTGGAGAGCGATAAAAATAACAGGCTCGATATAAAGTTGAGTGATGAAATATTGAATAGTTCTACTTCAGCTTTTTTTCCTTTTTATCCCATGAATAGAAACTAGGCAAGCTTTTTGGTTATTCAGGACACTACACTTGAAAAATGATCTTGAAATGTAATGCTGATCTTTATTGCATCAGCCTAGCAGGTTTCAGGTGAGATCGCTGTCGTACCTTTTCTGTGCTTTTATTCAGATGTGCTTTTATTAGGCTGTGAGTGTATCCACGGGTGTTGCTTATATTTAAGGTCTATTGCATATAAATATTTACTCATGATGGTGAGTAATCCTAGAGGTCAGAATGGCTGAAAAGGCCTTTAACAGCGTCATGTCTCTGCTTTATTCGTTTTTTGAACACTGTCTGGTTGGAGCATTTGTAAAGAATTTAGTAAGTGTCCCTTAATGAAGTCACCGTGGCAGTCACGCAGATGCCATTTAGTACCTGCGGAGTTTGCATTTTTAGAGTTTACATGCCGAAAGGACTGACATAACACAAAATTGTTGAAGAAACTGGTGACTGCAAAAGCAAAACCAGATGGCATCTTGCATTTTTATTCCGCATTAAGTGATTTAGGTGAGCAGGAGTGCGCTGGCGTCCTGTTCTCACCCGCCGCCTTTGTTGTGTCGCGGCCTTATCTTTCTCTAGTGCATGTTTTCCTGCAGCACATTAGTCAAGCGTCTGACAGCGGCAGAGCCGAACTCCCAGCACGCTGTGCGCTCTGGCCCAAACCCAGCTTCCCTGTCCCAGGTGGCTCCGCTTGTTTTTTTTGTCCTATCAGGGCTGTTGGAAGGGCTCTGAGCCCCTGTGCTGTTCAAGGCCTTGGCAAACATGTGCCGCTGCACTGGTTGTGTCTTTCAGGATGATGTGGGCGGCAGGAGCTGTGGCAGCCATGTCCAGCATCACCTTCCCAGCTGTGAGCGCGCTGGTGTCCCATTGTGCGGATCCCGATGAGCAGGGTAAGGGGGGGGGGCACTGTATCCTGGCAACATACTACGGAGGGCCTGAAATGTCTGCTTGTGCCATTCCTGAATATTCTTCCTCTTTGTTAACGGATGTTCTGCTAAGTGTGCAAGATGCTGAATTCTTCTGAATCCCTACAGATGGAAAATAAACTCAGTCCTTGCATCTTAACGACATCAGTTGGTCTGTGTTTGCTTATCACAGCTTGCAGTGCCTCTCAGTAGATGCATCTTTCTCTAGCTGGACAAATACAGATGCTGTCTCCATATTACTACCAAGCGGTTAAGGTGAGAAGAATGAGCCACCCTAGCTAAAGGGTGTTTCTTGTTCTGCTTCCCCAGGAGTGGTGCAGGGCATGATCACAGGCATCCGAGGGCTGTGCAATGGACTGGGGCCGGCTCTCTTTGGTTTCATCTTCTTTATGTTCAACGTCAGGCTGAACGAGATGGCATCCATCCAGAATGACATGGCCTCCTCCTTAGAAGATCCCACTGAGCAGGTGAGCGCTCGGCTGTGGTGCGTGCGCTGCGGTTCATCAGAGTCTGGGTTCTTTGCCTTTGGTCTGTTTTTTTTTTAGAAGCCGTTTTTATTTGTAGTTTAAATGACTGGACGGCCAGACGCGGATCGCTCTAAATGCTCCCTGTTAGCTTTTTCCTGTTTGAGCTGGAGCAGCAAAGCCCCTGAAAGGTGTGCTCACTTTGCCCCAACTAACTCCCACACAGTTGGCTAATTAGGCAGCTTGCCCTCAAATCACACTGAGGTTGTAGCACCCAGCCTGGGCTTTTAAGCGGCTTGTTCATTTGTGATTGCTCTGTACATTCTGCCATGCATAGCAGATGGTGAAATGATGGGTTGCGAAACCCCAAAGTCTTTTAAGGTTCTGCAGTGTTTTTATTTCGGTATCCTCTGGGTTAAGCTGGTTTGACTAATTAAAAACGTTAGTAATTTATTCTTTTCTCCCCTCACCTTTGTCCCAGCAGAGAGCGCTAATTCCCGGGCCTCCCTTCGTCTTCGGAGCGTTCTCCGTGCTCCTGGCCTTCCTGGTGGCTCTGTTTATCCCGGAGCAGCACGCCCCGCCAGTGAACGCCTGCAATGCCCGCAAAAACAGCGGCAGCGACAGCAGCATGGGGCAGACCCACAACCCGCTTCCAGGCAGCGACGATGACATCGAACCTCTGCTGCAGGACAGCAGTGTGTGACGGAGCCCCCCACCCCCACATGGGGAAACGCAGAAGCTCTGACCTTCCAAGACCAGTATAGCTGCACATCAGTTCACATTCCTGGCTAGGAACGTTTTTTTAAATTATTTTGCAGTTTCAATGAATGATTTTTTTTCAACTAATTATTTTTTTTTAAGTATTACTGTTTAAATAGGTCGAAGAGAGGCTGGGGAAATACAGGTTGTGGGGAAAGATGTCCTCTGACACTATGAATGAAACTATTGCATTATACTAATTCTGTGAAACCCTATTTAATCAGAAATGGTTGCTTGTTTTTAATGACTTTCTGGAGGGAGGCTGTTACAATATACAGGTTCAGTATGATAATGCAAAGAAATTGTATGTTACAGATCAGTCTCATTTCATAGGTCTATTAATAAGCCTTACAACATTTATGCAGTGACCTTTTATTTTTATGGACTTGAACACTCTCATCTTTACGCCTAATAAGTGCAAAGGCAATGGTCTTGATGGTACTGCTCACATAGTTCTTGAGTTTGTTACTGTAGGATATCATGGGGGATCTTTTCCTGCTTAAGTGTTTTTCCGCCTCATGTTAGTGGGGTGAAAGGCAGTAATATTCTCCAGCTGGTGGTATAGATGTTTACTACATTCTATGCATTGGTCTTATTCTGTACTTTGTGAGACATGGGCCCGCACAGCAATCGCGACATGAAATTTTTGTATAATTGTAACTTGTAATATATGATATAAATTATGATCGACTTCTATTTATATACACATATACCGTAAATAATGAACATATAAAACAAGTATACAAAACTCTTGGTCAATATTAGCTTATAGTGAATATGCTTTTTATGGATTTTATTTAGCCTTTTTTAATTGTGGACATTTTATAATCTGAATGAAATCAATCTAAAGGCAGTGTTTGACATGGAAGCACATTTAAATGGAGAAATAAACTTTTTCATCAAATGGCATTATATTCTACTGCTGCGTAACTCATCCCCCCTTATCACCAGCCACCATGACTTTGATTTCTGGCTCACTGGTTCTCTACCTTTTCTACTTTGTTGCTTTTGATCTTTTCAAAGAAATGCATATCAGTTCCCTATGCACCTACAGAGAGTAAGCATCTCTCTGTCTGTTTTGGAAGTGGAGAGTTTACAGTCTGTCCCTTTTTAAAGGCTGTTATGAAATATTTAGAATAATTGATTAGTCAACAAAGCATTTATGTATTGTGTAAGCAGTAGCTTGGTTTTCTGTCAATTTCTGCCTTCCCCAAAACTTATCATTATTGTAAAATGTCTGGTCTGCTTTGTTTACCAAAAGTCACTCCTGGGAGTATGATTTGTGTAGTACTTTGGCCATGTGTGATTTCTCCCTGGAGGCTTGAATTGATGGTTACACTCCAATCCACTGCAATGTACTGATCGGATCTGTTAATAGCAGCGAATCTCCCTGAATTCCCCAGATGTGTCCCAAATAGTCATGATATGCCACTGTTACAGAACTGTGTCCATAAATGGTGTTCTGGTAGAACAAGCTTACCTGTGTAATGAATTGCCTCATGGCAATGTAAAGAGAGCTGTGTTTTACGTACCTTAGTAATGCCTATTCGATTGGGATGTAAGCAGATCGTTTTGCTGTTTCTCCAGACCCATGATTACCATTTTATTTCACCATGTTCAGTCGCTGAAAATGAGCGTAATACACAAACTTGCTATAGACTTGCTGTTTAGAATGTTTTTAAAAGAGAGATTATGCATTCACCAAAAAATGATGTCAAATGATATTCAGCTGGATTCAGGTCACAGTGGCTATTTTTGTATAATACTTGTAACTACAGTGGAATATGTGGGTATTTTCTTTTTCTGTACATCTCCTAAGAAGTATTTAAAAGCATAATTTATTATACATTTCCAGAAAGATATATTTTTGGAACAGTTACATTTATTAGCCCACAACAATTCTTCAAATCTTTTGACACTTTATATAATACTCTTGCATATATGAAGATTACTTCTCAGCAGTCTTCAGATAAGCAAGTAATATGTCTTTTGTTCAAAGGAACCCTAACCCTCTAGTGTTGCATTTGATAATGTGTTCTGCATTTGCAGAGTACATGATTGATGGATTTACTTTTTTGCATTCTGCATCTCTTTGAATTATATTCAAATGTGCCTAATGTGTGAACATATTATTTTTAAGAGTAAAATATTTATTGGTGTGTACATGGGGCAGATGTTACTGCAAATGATGTGTACATGAGCTACATATTTGTAATTGCTATGTTTTTGTCTAATAGTACTACAAATTAGTCGCAATAATAAAGTATGTTTTAAAATAATGTATTTTAACATTATTGTCACCAGGTGGCAGTGTAACACTAAATACCTCTTCCTGTATAATCTGCATTGTATACCTTTAACGGCATTGGTTTGTCTCCAAGATCATTCTTATGAGTTTTTATACAGGTTCTTCCTAAAATTTGCCAGCTCAGCAGGGTCAAGCCAAAGTGAGGAATTGGAAAGCCCTCAAACCCAACAAAAAATAATGTGGCCATTTAAAAATTAATGTATCAATACCACTGCAAACATTTTTTTATCTGCTGTGTATATCAAAGTATTGGACCATGAGGTGCCAGGGTCTTGGTTTCAGTGTGTTTGTTTTTTCTTTTTTCCAGTGTATTTTTTTTTTTTATCTCTGCCAGGTTGCAGAAGTGATTATGTCAGCCGAAGAAGTTTTGCTTTTCAGCACTTCCACTGAAATGTGTAGCTATTTCTGAGGGGAAAAAATGCCGTCATTATTCATTATTTCTCAATTAATGAACCGCAACACCCCGAAACACTTGTGTTAATAGAAGTGGGCAAATGTACTTGTACTGCAGGTTGTCTATTGCAAAACAGCAGATACAAACTACGACTTATCAAAAAAGCATTTATTTTGTGACACATTCTTACTGCAATTCCTCATAAATAAGCAGATCTGACATTTTCCCTTAACATAAACAATCAATGTAATTTAATAGTAAACTGGCAGCACGTAATTCTTACTGGCTGAATTTCTTATGGTAGGAAAATGGAAAAATTTAAGACCCCAATGGCTATGATAGAATTGCAGACTTGCATCATTATGCATTATTAAGAGTTTAATAAGAAATATATCACATTTTGAATGGGGTTTGTGAGAATATTCAGAAATGGTAATACTTTTTCATCACAGCTTAAATGGTTGGCTATCATCCGTGCTTTTATAGTGTCTGTACATAATTTGTTACTGTAAGAAGCGGAAACTTGCGATAACATTCTTTGTTCTTTAGCAGTCAGCTCAACTCAACATTATTTTTCTCCTGCAGGTGGCAGTGTGTAGACATGCTTTAGAGTTCTGAACTGCTTATTTATTGCGATATTATTTGAAGTTCCTAAAAGTTTGTTGCAGGTTAGTTTTTTTTTGTTGCTGTGCTTGGGGTGTGGTGAGATGGCAACTATACTTTTCATCCATTTTGTGATACAGTCAGTTACAAATAGCATTTCCATTGCATGCTGCCTAACGGACCTCAAAATTTAATTGTATTCAGTAACAAGGGTTTTTGAATAAAATATTCCAACATCGGTCCAAGTCTACATTTATAAATAAAATAATTCACAAAAGCTTTAGCCTAATGCATATGCAGGCCGAATATATACAGCTACTGACTTGGAAACTTATTTGCCCATGAATTGAAGTTTGGTTTTCTAATGAAAGTGGAAATAGTAACATAACTATGCATGTTTCAATAAAGTAAATAGAATAGTTCATGTGAATTAAGATGCTGCAAGACTGGATGAAATTTTATAAATATGGAGAAAAGCATGCAGGTTTTATCAACTCAGTCGTTTTATATCACCCCTTGTGAGGTCTACAGAGAGCCAGATCCATTCCTGGAACACACAAGGCACAGTAACGTTCTTGACTGGATACCTGTATATCACAGGACACTATATCACACACAAACACACCTTCTGCGTCTAGCAGGAACTTAATGTCTCATGCAACATCTGTTTGGGTTGCAGGAGGAGTCCACACTTAGAGTAGATAACATGCAAATCATATACAAGCCAGCTCCAGATGGGGAAGTGTGCAGGACCACCTTGCTTCTTTGATGAATATCCAAAGTATTTTGCCATACATATTTCACATGCTCTGCATCCTATTCAACGTCTCATTTGTTTAGCGACCCTCACATGTGTGTTTACAGGCTGCTCACACTTTGTTGACACGGAATTGAAGTCTCATTGCTGTGTTGAACCAATCATAAGCCCTCAGTGGTCTCTGTAAAATAATTAGCATACAACAGTTTCTGCTCAAGAGAATGTATTAGTGCATGGCAGAGTGACTCAGTGAGTAACACTGTCACCATGTTTCTCTCGGGTTTTGGGATTAAATCTCACCCCTGCTGTGTGTGTGTGTGTGTAATTTGCATATCTTCCATTTTTGGTGCCATTTTTGGGCCAAATACATGCAGTTAGGTGAACTGGCATTTCTAAATTGCCCACAGGGTGTGTGTGTGTGTGTGTTTGTGTGTGCCCTCTGATGGACTGGCATCTTGTCCAAAGCCCCCCTGTTTTATGCCTCATCCTGCCCAAGGTGTGCTCCAGGCTGCCCCATGTCACAATATACCTGATAAATGGATGGAAGAGAACATCTTTATAAATTTTACTAAAGGATTGCATTTCCTTTCTGTGATTACGATAGTAAATTATCCCCTTTACTTGAGCAAGAACTGCTCTTCAAACTGTTTCATCTGACCTTTACAGACAAATGCAACGGAGAGCCATTTGCCATCTTCCCTTTGCCTTCTCTGCTTTTTGCCATCCCACTTGGGAACAGTTGACAAAGGCGAAGTGTCACCTGTATTAGAGGCCTGGCTGTCGTTGTCCCTGCATTGGCTGATTGGAGTTATATTGGCTCCGTATTTGGGTGGGACTTCTGCTCTCCCTGTTTATCGTAAAATATTACAGCGTGGCTTTATGCATAAAAGAGAGGGATTTCACTGAGCCGACGCACTGTCAGTGTTAGAGGAGAAACTCACGTTTGGGTTCACAATAAACAGATGGGCTTCTGCATTGCGGTGGTCTGATCAAATTGCCACTGTGAAATATGTTGACCCCAGAATATGAATAGCATCACAGATATGGGCATTCCTGAAAGCTGACTTCAAAAATCTTTATTGCCTATTTTTTTTGTCATTTATTTTAATTTATCAGGCCACAAGTGAGGGCAGCATGGTAGCTTGGGGAGAGCTAAGTTATCTCTGTTTTCAAGGCTGCGGGCTTCAGTCTGGCTGTAGCTGTGCAGGTCTAAGGTTTGCATGTTCTCCCAACAAAGCTGTGTGCTTCGGGTGAGCTGGTGGGTTTAACCAGAAACTGGCGTTAGCCACAGTGCCTCTGCAATAGAGTAGTAGACCTTCCATGGATATCTCTGGGCCTTCCTGGGAAAGCCTTTGGATAAACAGCAGCTGTGTTATAAATATGTTTTTAAATCTTGGTATTTCGCTGCTAGAATAAGATACTGGACAAACAAGGTTATTAAGTGAATTGTAATATTTTTATATTTTTCATATTTGTGAGTGTATGTAAACACTTTTATTAACAATACATTTACAGTTATGAAATCCCTAGATTGAACATCATTTTGAATCATTTTAATCAATCCTCTGTCCTCTCTATTGCAATAGAATCTTTCCATTTAGGTTGCAAAGGTCTAATGACATATTCTGAATGGCCTGTTTAAATGTCAGCTCAAGTTCCCCCTGATATTTGATTAATTCTGTTCTAAACCTACAAAACTTTGACACATAACGGGTGGCTGATACGTTGAGGCATACCTAATAAAAAGCCTTTATATGGTGGCAAAATTTGCAAATAAAAGGAGACTTTTCTGAGAGAAAAAGATTCTTCAAAAAGGATCATCATAATACAGTGTACATCCATCCATCCATCCATCCTTCCATCCATCCATCCATCCATCCATCATGGCCGATTTGGGAACACCAATGCACCTAACTGCATGTCTGTGGTCTGTAGGAGAAAGCCCATAGGAGGTGCCCAGGGGAGGAGCCCATGGCAGGTGCCCATAGGAGGTGCCCAGGGGAGGAGCCCATGGCAGGTGCCCTTGGGAGGTATCTGGGGGAGCCAAAGCCTGGAATATCAGGTGCTGCTCACTGTACCTTCATGCTGTGCCATAGATTTTACAGAACATATTTATCTTCATTTTCTATACTGCCGGTCTTAGGGTTGTCGGAGTCCAAAGCTGAACCCAGAATCAACGGGCATAAGGAAGGAAATAACCCAGGATGGGGCACCTACCCATTGCCACAGTGCATATATTCATTATTTAAAACTGTGTGTGTGTTTTTGATTTTATGCTTTTATAGGTAATATAAAAAGATAATTTGTGTGTGCCTATTCAAAGAGGAATTTAATATTTAAAATGAAAATGACTTTTTTTAACAATATGCTACCATTATAACAACATCAGAAAACATCTTTTATTAATGGGATTAATGGAAGACAATCCTGATATCCTGTGAAGGAAGGTGTGCAAATTTAATTTGGAATTAGAGGAAAAGTGATCCTTCTGCATATGTGTGTGTTGCAGAATCGCTTTCTCTGTGCATGGCGAACTTCTGCTGAACTCACTATTAAGCTCACAGCACTAGCGCGGCACTTCTCGGCTGAAAAATATTTCATCCCAACACTTGAGAAAATAAAGTGATGGAAGAAGGCAAGGCAAAGCATTTTTTATTTTACACAATCAGCAAGAACGGGGGATGTTTTCCTAATGAAGGCGATTTTGTGGGAGGTTATGGTATAATGCTGTATGAGGACCGCGAAGGGCTGTGGCAGAGGTTAGCCTTACACTCCCGAGGTTTTTGTCCTATAATTTCAATAAGAGTTTTTTTTATTTCCCTTCATAGGCTCTATTTTGTGCCCTCCCCCCCTCCACAACATTTTTACTCTATAAAATTGTCATTATGTGAATCTGTGATCATCTTCATGTGAAACCTGTATTTATTTTACTTTGAGGCAAATATGTTTAGACATCATGACATAAAACTGAATTGAGTTGTACTGGATTGAATGATGGTGCAAAAGGATCAAGCAATATGTTTTAGTCAGCATTCAATACGAGAGGAGAAGAAATACTTTCTAAAATGTGACACGGCTATAGTTTATATTGAATAAATAAGAGGGAATGTAGTTTAAAATGTGGAAGTTGCAACTGAAGTGCGTCTGCATGTGATGCACTGATGTAAAAGATTAATGAACCCAGTTAAAAAAAGGATGTTGATTTAACCAGTGACTATCAGGTCAGACAATTGGAGGAACAAGTTTCATTCTCCTCATTCCAAAAGCGCCTGACTTATGTGTTAAATGGACTTCCAGGTTCCACTTATCTCATTGTGTTTATAATAGGCTATAAAATTACTATACTGAGCATCAAGCACTCCATAAAAAGTTAATTATCAATCCAGCATTCTCATTTTATTTTCTACAATTTGTACTTTGTAAAGGAAGCAATTTAGCAGCCGGCCTTGGCTCTCTCCATGAAATTAGCTGGGTATTACACAGAAGATATGACCTTTCGGAGCAGGATGCAGCTATCTCTGCTGTGCCAAAACATTACTGAAGCATTTCTGCCATGAACGTCCTGTTTCCTCAGGCAACATCCTAAACCTCTCAGAACTTCAATCCAGCTAAGTCTTTATTAACTATTTTTGCCATTTAAAGTCCCTTCATAGCTGATTGAATAGCTTTGTGTTGGGTTTTCGTACCGTGCGCTTTGTAATGTTTAGCTGAGTCACGCTGTCTGGGCACTGCCACACCTTACTGGTTTCTATGCTCAAAGCACTAATTGCTTTTTTTCCCAGGAAAATGAAAAATATCCTTGTGAAAAATCGCAACAATAAGGAGAACTGGAGGAATCTGTCACTTTTATGGTTGTCTCAGAATATATTGAAAACCAAGGACTCCTTTTCAGGTGGGTAAGATTGTGTGAAACGATCTCAGGCGGGATAATTTTCAGGTGGGTTTGAACTAAATCACAGGTTTAAGTCTTTTAGCATTTGCAGTGTAAATGCTCTGCATATTGCAGAAAAAAATGCTCTGAACCCATTACCAAGAAATACCTTTCTGATAATGACAATGTCCTTTTCTTTAACTGTTATCTTCATTTTTTGTATGAATCAGTGCAAAGATCAATTTTCTAACTATTTATCCTGTACGGGATGGGGGAGGGGAAGGGGGGGGGGTTTGTAGCCAATGCCAGGCACTTTGGCCACAGGCTGGATAGGATGCCAGTCAGATTATATATGGGGCAAATTTTGACTGTCCAGGTGCAGAGGCGGACATTTCAGGTCCAGAAAGTAAAAATCCAAACCAGGATTTTGTTTCAACCAACCAGTTGAGCATAAAGAGCCACAGTCACAGAGTACTCAACTGGTTGGTTGAAACAAAATCCTGGTTTGGATTTTTACTTTCTGGACCTGAAATGTCCGCCTCTGTCCAGGTGACGTGTACCTAGCCCTACTTTCCTGTTGAGTACGGGGCCAGACAATCCTATTGGTGACAT